ATAATTGGGATGGGAGTGTCAGAGACAGTGCAATTGGCACAGGACAGAGCAGAGTTTAGGGCTGTTGTACATAGGGTCGCTATGAGTCGCAAGCGACTGGATGGCACATAACAACATCCCCTGCCACACCTTAAAATTGCAAATTCTGGCTAGTTTACTCTCTGATAAGTAACTATTTTCTGATTATCTTTTCAGTAAGATGTCTGATTCTAGATAAATATTTGTTATGAAATATTTTTCTCATTTAGGTAGCAACATATAGTTTAATCTTAAGTTTTATTCTGTCATGAAATTCAGTATAAAGCTTCCCCTTGAAATTTTTCACGTTAAGAAATGACTCCGAGATGCAAAGATAGAGGCTGGGAACAGAATTGAGCATTTCTTAGTCTCAGTCCAACTTTCACTTATACCATGTGGCTTCCTGTAAGAGACACATTTGAAAGCTTAAGACTAGTGTATTTCAAAAGGGCAAAGATGTAATTGTTCACTTTTGCAAATTTTAAAAAGTGAATTTTTTCTCCATATAATTAATAATGTCATTCTCTTAAAATTATTTTGGAAACCACACATAGTTTACTGTATCCAACTTCTTATTTCGTGTTTTGAGTTTAATTACTTCAGTTGTTGAAAAAGTTTATGATTTGTAAACGTTTACTCAAAATAACATGTATAATATTATCTGAAAAAAATTTATCATCTAAGACACTACTTACATACTAAATAGGAAGAGCAGGTAGTTTTGCTGTTGAATTACAATTCTTTTAAAATCATTTAAACCAAGGGAAACATGTTTTATGAGTTAGGGGAAGAGATGCTACTTAGGGTTAACTGAGCGTTCCCTTGCATTTTCATTTATTGAACTTTTCCTAACTACTAGGTAATGAATCAAATACTTACTGTTGTGTTTAGTCTTCACTGTCCTTCTAAAATCCTTATTTATAGCTAAGGAAAGGTTTTTCATACAGCTAGAATCATTTTTGGTTACCAAGGATGGGATGGGAGGATAAAAAAATAAAAATTAAGAGAAAGGTTGATCAGACATTGTGTAATTAACAGTTGGGAAGAACAAATTTAGCAAAGTACTAGACAAAACTGTAGGAAACCTGTCAGGTCTGATGTCTACGTTTGAAATAACACTGCACTTCCTTAACTCTTAAAGCTGGTTCTAAAAAAAAAACCTGATTCTCATGAGATGAGCCAGAACCCAGACAAGGTCACTCTTTCAGCAGGAGGCCTTTATTGTTCTCCACAGCATATAACCCTTAGAGTTTATGCATCCATCCTTGCACATGGTAGTAAGTCAAGACCCAAGGTTTGTGCTTGGAAATGTCCATACTTTTGCAAGATAACACAGAGATAACTCCAGTAAATACCATTTTTTTTAATGATAGACATGAGAAATTGGAGGATGTTGTGTGAGCTTAATTAGGTTAGGATAATATTTTTGAAAGCATTTTGAGTTGTACAATTGAGAAGCACTTTAGTTAGCACAGTAGTTCAGGGCATCTTTCCTATTTCTAAAATTTGGGTTCCTGTTAATCATTCTGTATTGCTCTCTCTCTATTCGTCAGTGATAATGTGCTATTCATTCCCCTACTTTTACCCCCTTTGTTCACTGATTTTTATTTTCATTGACTCACATATATATACTTTGTCTTACAACATCAGGTATAGTTAGATTTCTCATCCTATTGAAACCTTACTATATCCTTCCTTTCCTCTCATGCAACCTATCCATTTGCTAATCTCTACTCCCTCCCCTCCTGGGGTCAGTTCTCCACTAGGGTTATCCCTCCACAATTATATCTATTTGTGTGTAAACCTTTCCTTGGTCTCCTGTCTCTCCTTAACTCCCATTCTCCCATAGTCTGTCAGCAATGCATGCCCCATTCCAGCTTATTAATTGCAGTACACATAGTGTCTGATCATCCATTCATTTCAGATTGATCTTCCTTTCACCTATTCCAATACAGTGTTCATTACCTTTTCCTGTTCTCTGCCACCTCCCAGCTTCCCATAACCATCATGCTTTTATAAAAGTCATTATACCGTGTTTGTCCTTTTGTGACTGCATTATTTCACTCAGCACCATGTCCTCTAGACTCATCCATATTATGTAGTATTCCATAAGTTCTTCATTGTTTTTAGTCTTCCTTTTTCTGTGCAACATCATACTTCACTGTGAATGTACCACGGTTTCTCTACCCATCTGTTTGTTGATGGATATTTGAGCTACTTCCATCTGTTTGCTATTTTGAACAATGCTGCAGTAACCATGAGAGTGCATACATCTGTGTCTCAGTTAACTTTCTTTCTCTTGACTTCTTCATTTACAAAAAAAATAGAGTAATGCTGATAATGTGAGCTCAGGGGACCTAGTGGTAGGAAGTTACTCTGCCAACTGCCTAGTAGAGAGATGGGCTGTTTGACAGCCTCTGAAAACCTGCTGGAGGGTCAGCTCTAAGTCCAGTTCCAGCTCTTTAGCAGTAAATGAGTTGAGAGCCTAGAATTGATGAGATTAAGTGAAGTAATATATATTGAGTATTTTCAACAGAGTTTGGCACACTCTCAGAGCTGTAATATATGAAAGAAGGAAATAATTGCATGATTATGTTACTAGATAGAGCAGTTCTGTCTGCTGGTTTTTGCTTCGTCACACTTTAATTCTTGAATCCAGATGCCCCCATCAACACTTGCCATCCTCTGTTTATTTCTGACTCCTGTTGGCCCTTCTTCAGAGATTGAGAAGCTGTAAACCTCTGGGAGAGGAGACTCCATCTGTCTCCTGTGGAACAGCCAGTGGGTTCAGTGACTTCTGGTTAGCAGCCCAGCACATACAGTGCATTCTGCAAGGAGGGCTCCTGCACCAAGGTGCCAGGTTGTCTGTTTACAGAAATGTCTTGAATCTTCTGTTTCTTAATACTTGTTTATGCACATATTAAGTTGTGTTTATTTCAAAGAAAAGCATTTGGTCTTTGCTGCTTTCTCTGCTGTATTTTTAGGTACCTTATGTGTAGCCATGCAGAAGACCTGCGTGCAAAGGCAGAATGGGAAGGCAAAGGGACAGCTTCTCGGTCCAAACTGTTGGACAAACTGCAAAGTAAGATTTGTGTGTGTTTGTTTCTGTGTCTTCTCTTAGATTAGAAACAAATACTATGAATCAGATAATAAAACTTTAACCTAGATATAGTTTGTGACTTTTAAGATCAGATAAAAACAGTATCCCTTATGGGACCCTTTGAACAGATTTTTTTTTCCCCAGACTTTGTCCCCAAAATGAGAAGGAACTGCTCCTAGAGCCATTCTCCTTTTTTTGCTTTGGATGGTAGTGTTCCTTGGAGTATTTTGTGTAAAAGGGATCAGGTTAGAGATAAAATAGACAAACTTTATCTTTAGCCCAGCTATCTTAAATAGTTTGTTAATTTCAGTAGTAAGTCATTTTTGTATTGTTTTTAAAGATAAATTGCTTTATTTTCCTCCAAAATGTTTGATAACTTCAAATTAGAGTAGAAGTTTAACTTTTGCTACATGTAAACATTTTTGCTTATGTAAAGACCTTCTCTCCATCCACCCCTATCTCTAGCCAAATCATGAAAATGTCCAGGAATCCAAAAACCACATGGTTGGGAAAGTTGAAAAACTAAGATAGATGGGTACCGATAAGACCCTAGTTAGTACCTGAATTTTCATAGTATCCTTTGGTTGCAAACATTGTTGGAAAGCCTTTAACTTTACCTGTTACCAGAATTTTTGGCGTGCTCTTTATTATATGGAGATTTTCCTTACTTCTAGACAGTCATGACTACTATTTTTTTTTCTTTTTCTCATTTGTTCTTAGAAAAGCTGCACAAAAAAATAGAGCCCTCCTATTTGAGTTTATCCATTTTAGTGACACCATAGTCCAAGCTGTCAACAAGTGTTCATAAACATGGAGAATTCTATTGGAATGGGGTCAATGAAGGGGTTGTTGATACAGCAGTTGAGCAAATGTGTTAAAGTCTACACTGCCTTTTAATTTCTTCTTCTTTTTCATTTATCTTCTCTTAAAGCCTACTTACCACCATCAGTGATGCTTCCCCCACGGCGTTTACAGACTCTCCTGCGGCAGGCTGTGGAGTTACAAAGGGATCGGTGCCTATATCACAATACCAAACTTGATAATAATCTAGATTCTGTGTCTCTGCTTATAGATCATGTTTGTAGTAGGTAAGAGGAACTTTTACTCTCTTATATTCACAATTATAAGTAGAACTACTAACATTGAAAATGAAAAATGTGTAGTTTTGGGGGTTTTTTGGTACAGTAAGTCCATGAGAATTAAAATTGTAAAGCTTATTTTTTTCTATTATCTGAGGGTTTGGTTAGTTGTTTTCTATATTTAATAAATTTTTAAAAGACATAGAAGTAATATTATATGAACATTTCAGCAATCCTGGTATTTACCATCTTTGAATGCCAAGGGTTGCTTATGAATTCTTTCTCTCGATAATGTGGCAATTTTTACTATGGCCCAAATTATTTCCTGGTTATAACATTTACAACAATGCTTTATTCATAATGGCAGTTTTCTTTTTTCATTAAAAGATGGGCTGGTGGCCCACAGCATCACTCATGTCACCTCAGTACAGCCAGTTGACAGGCAAATTTTGGACCTGAACGAGCACACTGTAATAAAGCAAGCATATGCACTTATAAAGTGGGCCCAAGTCTGCCCCCCTCACCCCTCAGTACTGCAGGCTGTACCTATAAGAGCAAACCGTAAGCCAGATAGCATGCAAATAACATAAAATATACAACCATGCTATGGAACACAGAAAGCAAACTGCCCACCTGAGGCAGTACATCTGCTAGCCCAGCACAAAATTACAGCGTTGAGGTGCCCAGTCAGATCTGAGGTTCTGCATATCTGAGTAGTGGCTTAAAGCCCTAAGATGTGAGCTGAGTCCCTCTCATGGTCTAAGGTATGTTGAGAAATGGGACAGCCAGCCTGAGGCAGGCATTGTGCTGACCTCAGAGGAGCCCAGGCTGACCTCCTTCCCAGAGATGATTTCTGTCAGTCCAGGGAGTGGTGGTTACTTGTGGACAAGTTAAATAAAAGTAAAACATGTCCACGAGAACCAGACTACAACTGAGCCTGTCCCACCTCAGTAGATTTGATCCTTTGAACACTAATGGCTGGACAACAGATGTGTTACGGGATTACATCACAGTTACCATCCATGAAGAAAGCAAAAGGTCATTACAAAGACAGGCTCCTGGAAAGAAGAGACCAAAATGGATGTCAACAGATACTGAAGCAGTGTCACTAGAATGCAGAGAGGCCAAAACAAAGGGAAGAAATGCTAATGTAAAATTTCTGAACAGAAGATTTCAAGGCAGCTCAAGAGGACACAGCAAATTTTTCCAGTGCAATATGTAAAAAGCTGAAGTTAGAAGACCAAAAGGAAGCATTTCTCAAGCTGAAAAAACTGAGGATGAAACTGAAGCTTTAAATTATAATACTCAGGGTTCTGTCTGCATAGTCTTGGATGATAAAGGAAGCATCGAAAGGAGATGGAAGGAGTAATATAAACAATATAGTAATATAGATTCACAGTGCCAAAAAAGTATTGGCCAGCTAGAAACCCATCAGGAAGTAGCCAGTGACAAAGAACCATGATAAGGAAGAATTTCAAACTGCGTCCAAGCCACTGGCAAAAAATGGCCCCAGGAATTAATGTGATCCTATGTGTTGACGTGTTTCAACACATAGGTGCAACCCTGGACATGCCCACCAGGCTGTGCCAAGACATTTGAAAGACAATTACCTGGATAAGTAATTGGAAGAAATCCATATTTGTTCCCCTTCCCACAAAAAGGTGATCCAACAGAATGTTGTTATGTGCCGTCGAGTCGCCTGCGACTCATAGCGACCCTATGTACAACAGCCGTAAACTCCGCTCTGTCCTGTGCCAATTGCACTGTCTCTGACACTCCCATCC